TTTGTAAGAGATATTTGTTAAAAAAGGCAAGCAAAGAATGAATTTGGTTGGATACTTTCCAGTTTAGAAATTAGTTTAATACTTTGGAGCGCCCAGACCTGGGTTGTGTCGCCAAGATCAGCACGAACTATCCCGAGGTATAATGGGCGCCTTACGGAAGTACTGCGAATAAACCTAGAGTTCCTCCTAACAAAACCTATCAACTTGTTTGCGCGTGCAGCTTGCTGAGAGACTTGGGCGTGCCAAGTCAAGTCACAATCCAAGGAGACGCCAAGGTCACGCTCTACTTCAAAGGACTTGATGGTACTGCCGTTAACCCCGTAGCTTGTACAGATGGGCTTACACTTCCTCGTGATGGTCTGAAGCTTGCATTTCTTATCGTTGAAGGCAAGGCCAGAGGCAGCGGACCATGAAGACATATTATCCAGATCTTGTTGGAGAGAGGCACCATCATCCTCAGACATCACTGCCTTGTATACTTAAGTGTCATCTGCAAACATTGTCACTTTACTATTGAGGATAGAATCTGGAAGGTTGTTCACATATAACAAGAAGAGAGCAGGTCCGAGTATTGAACCCTGTGGGACTCCAGAGGTGACAGGTAGGTCATGTAATGTCGCGCCTAGGACGGTGACACGTGGGCGCCTGCCACAGAGATACGCGCGAAACCACGTGAACAGGTTCCCTCCGAAACCAGAATCCCGCAGTTTTTGCATAAGGTCATGTCTAACCTTATCAAAGGCTTTGGACATGTCCAAATACACACAATCAACTTGACCAGCTCTATCAAGAATAGCACTGATGTGATCTAAGGTCTCCAGTGGATTTGTGACGCATTTGGCTGATTTGACATTTGTGGCTGATATGAAGCGCGCTCTGTTTGGCTGAGAGCAAGATCAGAGCAGGCCATCATGCAGCAATTAGACCCACAGGCCGAATTTGGATTGTACAAATTAGAAAGAGCACAAAATTTCAGACGAGTACTACGACGGTTCTTTTTGCTTTTTGAAATTTCGAGCGCATTTAAACGATGAAGGCCAATTACTAGTCAGAGAGAGTGGACTCAAATTAATACAAACAACTAAGGTTTTAGAGGAAGAGCTGAGGTGCAGTTTTAGATTGTACTGGAAAGGACAAGGTTAGCAAAAAAGAATGTATTCCAAATGCAAGCTCGCATCTAATAGAATTAAACAGTAAAAATTTGCTTTGGAAAACTATCACTGACATGATAACATTTCAACGAAATTTTCAGAGGCCTTTTTTACCTTATCAGCTGGTAACTTTGGAGGCGCAAGTGAAGAACAATGAAAGTTTGCAAAATTTTGAAAACACCATCCGAAGATCTATCATGCATCCTGCGAAGAAAACAACAAAAAAGTCTAGAAGTCCCAACAATTAGCGAAATTTAAGTTTTGTCACAGTTAGCTTTATTAGTAATTCTCGTCAATAGATTCATTCGCCATTAATTAAACAGCCAATTTTAAATCAGTTTCCAGAAACATCAGATGAAAACAATTGAGCAGTTCCTGTAGGCAGCAGTATTTCTGATTACTTCATGTAGTTTTAGATGTTCGAAAGGCTTGTAACTTCAGTTCATTCATAAACCTCCCAGAAGGCGAAGATGTGTTGTCGAAAGCGAAGGCAAAGAAAGAAATATTCTGAACGATACATTCCGAAACATTTGTATTTTATATTACCAAGGGCCGCACATGCCTGACTATTTTGAAGTACTTATCTCTATTTCTGTTTGCACTCCAGTTGACGTTTTTATGGTAAGATTGCGCAATAAAATTTCGTGATCTATTTGTGTAAATATAGCTGAAGCATATTATTTTGACATAAACCAAGAAAAAGCTGACACTATACAAATAAAGAGGTAAGGGTAATGTATATGATCATATGATAGTAGTACGTATATATATGACAAAATGAGAATTACCTTGAGGAAAGAAATAAAGTTTTAACGTAACTTTTGGTTTAGAGTGTGATTCTCCGACTTTGTCTGATATACCTAGCCTCTTTCGTCTTTGTTTGAAAAATTGTGATGGCAGAATCCAAAATCGTGAAAAATTCGTAAAGAATCAGGTATTGACATTAAAAAGACTAAACTGCCAACAAGGTATGTTCCATTCTATGAGAAATCGAAAACTGCGGGCTGATCTTCAAAGTTTACATTTGGAAAATTCTACAAGACGCCTGTCTCTAGAAAAAACCTTTTTCTTACTAATTATTAATTTATTCATACTATTAGCATTTAAAATAGGTTTTCACTGTCGGTTTGAGACAGCAGTGTTTTGGGGCTCTTTCTTTCCCTTATTACACATGTCCTGCTTTGTAATCTCATGGGATCGCAATAGGATTCTGTTACTCGGTAGAGTTCAAATCAAACCTCAACTTACAAGTAAGTCTCTCTTGATTTATTAATTTTCCTTCGAGTCAATCCTACTCAAGAAATCTCCTTCAGTTTCCTTATATGAAAAACAGTTATAAATACCTTCTCTTGATCCTTGTCTTCTCGGTCTACAGAGTAAGAGCCATGATTCTGACCAACAGGTTCTTCCCTGTGAAAATGATTACCGGATTTAAAATGCTCTTCTGTTGTTGCACACCTTTTAAACATTTCATAACAATTCATAAGCCACAGGGAAGAATCTTCTTTAAACTCGTAAGAATGACTTCTATAGCTGTAGTCATAATGTAGCCACCTGCTAATCAAACAAAATAATAATCGAAGAGATCGAAGCGAGAAAAAGCGAAGCATAGCAATAAAAAGCGATTGTGACTTACCACACAGAAAAAACCTGAACTCACCTTAAACAAAGGCAAACTAGACCTGAACTAACGCAGAACTAAACGAAGACTAACGAAAAACAAATCAACCCAAATATACAAAATGCAAAATATATTCTAAAACCTAGCACAGAAGCCAGCAATAACATAATAATAATGAACCGTTGAAAGCTACGAAGGCGCGAATACTGACATAAACTAAGCAAACAGCGAAAAAGGCTAACTAAAACAATTGCGTACAGCTCTTAATCCTGGCGCCACTGAGGGAAATAACAAAAACTATATCATACAAAAGTGGGCAGATATAGTAAGAATAGCTCAGTAGATTGGCGGAAGACATTGCACCTAGCAACGGAGGGAACACGAAACTTTAGTTCCTCAGAACTCCCTACGCTTTAAGATGGTTATCTGAAAAAGATTTAACTGTGTACTAAGAATTACTCAAATGGAACACCCGTGAGTTACCAAGTTAACAAAGAATTTTCGCACGTTCTGATTGGTCGAAACCTATCATTCGCATTATCATTTCAATAAATGCGCCGAAATTGACTCTGTGTGGAGCTATTTAGACCACAAGTCTTTCTGTTTACGAGCCTCTTTACAATTCATGCTGCATGTAGAGAGGGCTCAGATCTAGAGCTCCGCACCAAGTTACCATTGTGTTGTACAAAAAATTAAAAATCAAGGGAATTTTCAGTGCTCTTGCATTAAGGGTTAGTAACGACCCAGTATCCAAAATTATCTCCTCCCGCCAAAGCGCCTGGACCTGGATCCAAAGAACACCCTTTGACCCCCCCCCCTCCCCCCAGTACGAATCGGTATGCATGTATATTTAGGGTAACTCATTGTACAAGCATCTTTTTTTGAAGAAACTTCCCACTACCTTAGTTCCTCGATGTCGTAACCGAAGGTATTTCCCCCCATGGAAATACATCAGGAAGGCTATCTACACAAAAGTGAACCTAGAAAAATGGCGTGTGGTCTCCCTTTGTTAGGTCCCTCCGACAGGAACTGTTTTGTTATCTAAATAAACGTAATTCTGGGGGCATTCTAAATTATTTCTTGGACACTTCGAGTTCTCCACGAAGACAGCGAAAATGTTAATTTTCCAGGATGTCTACACATATTAGTTACAGAGTATGGACGTTAAATAGAATATTACCTTGTGGAATAAACCGAGAAAAGCTGTGTCAATCTCATAGGACGTAATCTCGATTAAGGCATCAGATTTTGATCATATAGGACAACGGTCCCTGTGATTTTGTTGGGTAGCTGCATTCTTATGCAAAGGCGTAATAAATCAAAGAAACTGATTCACATTTTTCTATACGTGCACTTTCGAGAATGAATAAAACACAATACCCTAATCGAAAATTGGTAACTCGGGATAATGCCTCACACTGATTTGTAAGATCTCCTTTGAAAATAACAAAACAAAACAATAAACTTATCCCAAAACACTATTTCTACAGACGTGCATAGTCAAGCAATCCCCCGAAACATCTTGTATTTATTCACTTGATTAATTGGCAGCAGTAAAGCAGGATGAGGAGGAAGAAAAAAAATGTAAAAGCGGGCTTTTTACATGAGTTCTAATGTACACCATGGTTCTACACAATCTTAGGGCCTCAAGCTTTCTCTTTACGAGGGTTGATAGAATTAAATAAATGTCCTTCCATTATTAGTTTTCAGCCCTCTAGACACAGTTCAAAATAATATACTTTCAGATACATGATTCAGCTAAATTGACGATTGTATATAGGTCGTAGTTTCATTGAACAATATAGATAAGCTTTGTTTTAATGATCGAACCATGGTCTATCAGCTCATATGAAACCATGGCTTGACTAATTAAGACTTTTTTACTGATGAGCAGTACTTGTGTTCATTGGATGAGAACAAAGAGCTAAAACATGCACTGAGAAATAGACTGCAAAATACAGAATTACCAGTTACGCATATTCATCAGTCATGTATAAAAGTACAGTTATGTACTAACTTTTCCAACGTCTGTAAACGTCTGTTTATCTTCAAAACTTTACAGTTATAAATGAATAAAGGCTGATAGTTTCTAAAGAAACTGTTTGGCGCTGCGTCGGTGGGGGTAACGAAATAATTTGAATATATCAACAAAGTTGAAATGGTAAATTGGCCACCGTTACGGTTATAAAAGCTGACGTTTCGAGCGTTAGCCCTTCGTCGGAGCGAATGGAGGAATTGTGGGTTACAATTATAACATTAGAGGAAATATTTGTCATCCTTTTCCAGAGAGGACTAAATATAGCTATCTACATCTCATAATACCTTTCTTCGCCCTGGTACTATGACTTTAGAAAGATTCGTTACGATATCGTCTGTTTGTATCTATGTTAAGCTGATTAATAAGGGCGGGGTTGTCAGGTACATATATAACCACTAGGAAATTACAATACAAGAAAACCTTATCTACTACATGATAAGCTGCATAAAATTAATGAAACATTTAAAGCGTTCACTTTTCAGATAAGCAAGCCTTTTCGTTTCCCTGAGGTCTTTGGAATACTGCGTTTTGTTTATCTGTCTCAGCTCCCTTCGCGGACGGAAGCAACAACCTCATTCATTCTTTACAAGAAGACGCGTGTAAAAGTCTTTGTATCATTTTGATCCTTTTTTCTGTCTGCACAAGTCGTTAAAGAAGTAAATTTTTTTGTTGCTGATGTTCGGATAAAAATGTTTTATGTTGCATAACGACAGTCAGTCATTTCTCGTTAAACATTTACCATGAAATTCATCCTACAGTGGCATGAATAATTACACTACCCCTTCTATAATCTACATCCACCATAATATCCATGTCAAATTAACTTAACCTCAGATAAAATATACGTGACCAGGATCATATTGGTTTGGCTATACATAAAAGAGTTACACATCAAGATGTTAACAAATTAAATTGTACTTTCACCGAGTACACCTTGGTTACAAAGGATGAAATTCAACTTGGAGAAACAACGTGTCGTGAACTAAGTAGTTTCTTGTCATCAGCACCTTATGAGATAGAAAGCTACTGACACCTCGCTCGCTGAAGCCAAATTCTGAAGTCTGTCTTTCAAAAGGAGGTTCTGCCAGACAAGACTGTGTCACGTTCATCCTATCATTTGGATCGTCTCGTTGATCAACCAACGTAAATGTGATTTTACAACGAAATGGCCAAGGCAAAATGGCGTCGAATTTGCCTTTTATTACACGAAGAAGAACTGAGAGGTACTTGTTCCTCTTCGTTATTTCCCCTTCTGGTCTCATACAGACTGATAGGTGGTACCCTTGCTTTCCCGTGTAGAATGGCACACTGTAAACCTCTTTCTTAGCGCCATTTTTAGCCTGCTGTAAGATATCTTGGAAACGCTTTATTTTCCAAACAAATGTAGAAGATTCTCCTTTCAGTAGTGAGATCTCTTTTTCCTGAGCAGCCACTTTCGCTCTTAGAGAGGCATTTGCTATTGTCAATTCTTGTATTTCGTTCTTTAAAATGGCTCTCTCTTGTTCAGATTCCATTTGCTTTAGCTTGAGCTGGTCCACTTTTTCCTCGAGCTTTACGGTCGTTTCTTTAAAAGTTTTCAGAGTCGACTCGAGATGGATTCCCATCTTTGACTGAAGATGAGATTCTAGCTCTTTTCTTAGAATCTAAATGAATGTAACATAAATGCAAAATCATAATACGCCTCCTCAAACCACAAGAGTTGTACAAAGTTTTTTCAGGTCAAGAACGTCGTCATATAGTAAGAACGACTCTTTCGGGATCGGTAAGGTTAATCAACGTAAGAGGAAATGAACTTAAAACCAGTGGATCGTTTTCTATTGAGCCTGGACTGCTTCACCCAGGTCATACTCATGAATAAAACAGGTTGCACTCATGAATACACTTAGCAGCCGTGAGAAAGTGAGTATAATGCACTTAACCTTAGCGCGATTTCGAAGGTGTATAAATCGTTAATACAAAGGGATATAATGTAACTAATGTGTATACAACTGCAGATGTAGACGAAAACGAAAAATAATACTAAAAAACAAACAAACAAACAAGAAAAAACGAACTAATATGATTACAAGTCAAACTCAGGGCAGGAAAGGTTTTCCTGTTTCCTTTTACCTTGGTGTTGCAGCCAATCTCAACATACGGACAGGACACTTCGGTCAATGGACAGTCAGTCTCAATGTGGGCATCTGTCTATCCAGCAAAAAGATAGATAGAGGCTAATTCATTGTGTACCCTTTCCCCGTTGCATATAACTAAATAAGTCATTTATCACGACTTTTTTTTTAGCTGGTATACACACTGGCTTGCAGGTTCGTGACTACTGAGGCAAGGGCAAGTGACTCTTGGGACATGCCAAGCTAAGGTTTTTCATAGTTTAAGTCCACCACAGTTCGGCCTTCAACTCGAGAAAACAGATGCGTAAAAGAAAGGTACTGTAATTTGATTCGTTACTGAGTTTTATTTCGTAGAAAAGGTTGTGCTTCTTCATCTTGGTAAAGCACAATAATATTAAAGCACAATAATATTAAAGCACAATAATATTAAAGCACTATTATTTGTCGCACGATGTAGCCACTTACGATGTGAATCGCGACCTTTCGGCTGCAAACTGCTAATCTTCACACTTACTGTCTCATTCCAGTCAGTAGAGGCAAACTAAAAAAACACCAAGCCCTTAAGGTTGGAAAGATAAAAAAAACTTACCTCTTCTCGAACAATAATTTTGTCACAGCCATTTGGACATTCCACTGGCCTTTTCGCACATTCGTCTACGTGATCCTAAGAGTCACAGGCGGAAGGAAGTATTCGAACACTTTTCGTGGAAAGTTGGGAACATGGAATTAACTTTTGCTTGGAGATATATTTTTCGATTCGACTTCATCTAACTCCGATCTTATTGTCTAAGACTTTTACTCTGATATGTATCTGATAATGGTTGTGCATCTTGTGCCCAATGTCTCTAATTTGATTCACGAATGAAATTCTGTGAAGCCATTTCAAGTCAGAGTCTAAAGCAGCCAGCTAAGGTAGGTAGGCTACATGATAATTTCCATCTAACAGGTCTCTATTGTAATTCGAGAGCACCTTTCCTTGTCCTATACTCTTAGGCTTATGTTCACAAATTCTCCTTGCTTGCTTTTATGATTCAGTCTACGGTTAAAAAAAGAGTTATAAAAATGACGTACTTGGATTAGGCATTTTGGGTATTCCTCATAACAGTGAACACAATCTTCCATCTTCCATTGGCATGTGCTGTTCATGTGATCATACATGTCCTTTCTTTTAACAGTTTCTGAACATTTTCCGTTGCTGCAGAAAACAAGTTGGAAACTGCAAGATGACAGGTGGTCCTGTTAAAAAAAAAGTAATATTTTCCGTTGATATTAAATATGAAATGATCCTCGCAACGAGTAACAATTCAATTCTCTATTCAATTAAAAGGAGTGCAATTTCATTTCTTCAGACTGCATGTCAGCACGACAAGCAAAAAGCCAGCTACACAGACAGACATAAGGAAACATACACAAAGGAAGAAACGTAAACTGACAATAACTGAGTTGTAAATCTACAAAAGGAGGAACTTGTCAACAAACTTAACTAGCATCAACTGACCCCCAAATATCAGCTGTACAGACTGACGCATGGCCATAATAACGTAACTAGCATCAACTGACCCCCAAATATCAGCT